AAATTTGTATATTTTAAAGAAAATTCTCTTGTCTATATTTGTATTTCATGTGAATTATTTTCAAAATGCATGTAGGAGCTTTTATTGCAATTTGTTTAGCATATATTTTCCATACAATTTCCTTGAAAAACTCAAGTTGATATATATGGAATTTATATTAATAATAAATAAAAACTAATAATTGACTTAATGAAGCAAATTAACACAGCTTTTTCAAAGTAATAATAAACTGCAATTCAGTCAGGTACTTGGATGCAATTTCCATTTCACTGGTATTCCAGAAAAAGCACATGCAGTAAAATTATTTTAAAAACCACCTGGACCATGATATTCAAATTCATTAATATCAGTTCTTTTAAGTACTCAAAAATATTTTATACTACTAATAAACCTGTGTTGCTATTTTTATCATTGTTAGTAATTGTGGTCACAATTAAAATAGATGCTAAAATTACCCTTCAAACAGAAGCAAACAAAAGGAAAAAAAAAGTTGCATTTTCAGTTTTGCACTAACAAGAATTTCCATTTATTCTGCCCATATTGGCAAAACAAATAGAAACAAACTCTCTTATGTTTACAATTAAAGTTAATTCAAAACAAAAATTGTTTGCAGCTTGAAGCGCCTCAGTTTTAGGATTGAGCATCATGAAATGCTAAAAGAAAATATTTTGAAATAAATAAATTGAAGGAAATGAAAACAGCAATGGAGTAGAGAAAAAGATGGGAATACAAATTATTTCCATTATTCTTAAGATTTTACGCAAACAGCTAAAAGTTGGAGAAATTTAATTTAAAATCAATGAAATGAATTCTCACATGTGTGTGTTCAAACCTGAGAGACTGAGAAAAATAAATAAATACAGGTCCTTCCATTTAAGTTGCTTATGAACTATAACCAAGGAATCAATATTAGAGGCCACTTTTAAAAATGTACATTGTCAATTAACATTAATCATTTCTTTCTTAATCCAGTCCTCATTCAGCACATTTTTCCCATTATTAAGATATACTAAGTAGTGATCGACTTTCATGCAAAAAAAGTTGGCTAAGCAGTGACCACAACTATACAAAAGTAGGAGACAAAACTAAAAAAATCTCTTTGGTCTGTAATAATAAAGCAAATGATATACATAACTTGCATAAATACATGACACGACATTCTGTTATTTGCCAAATCAAAACAAAACAAAAAAAACAGAAACGTGCTGGCATAATTTTCTTCTGTGCAAGTTTGTGCTCTTTCTTTTTTCTTTCATATACATTGAGCCTCTGTGAAGATGCAGTTCTTAAATCTCTAATAGTCTTGAGGGTGTTTGTCCTCCCTCCTCCCCTTCTTTCCTTTTGGCTTTTACAATGCAAAGGGATACTATAGTCCTGAAGAATGGTTTCAGTTGTCTATCCTGAATGGCTGTCGGCATCTCTAGCCATCTAGAAAGGCTAGAAACATTTTGTAGGTGAAAATAGCCACTTTTTCCACGGTGGAGAGTCCATAAAACTCCTCAGAGCATCAGCCATTGGGACTCATTGAATAATTCATCCCTCATTGCAAGCCCATAATGTCTTTTCTGGGCCCTATTGTGAAGACTGTTTTCTCTTCTTTTCTCCTTGAATTATAAAAAGGGTGCCTTCTTTTGTCCGTATCAAGCTGCTGCTAGCTGAACCTTTGTCTGGCCAGAGCTAAAGTGTGAGTTTCAATGGACTCTCCCCTCTTTGTTTTCCAAGTTCATCTCCAAGTGTAGATTGTGTATAGAAGACTTTCTTTGTAAAAGCTGGAAAAGTTGTACAAATGTTTGACCAGCTCATTTGGTACTTTTGTCTCCTGTTCTCCAGGGCCTATGGTAGATGTGAAGGGCAAACTTTAGAGGAGGACTGTCAGAGAACCCCAGACAACAAGTCGCACAGAACATTGGCTGTAGCCAGACTGCCAACCCAGTCAACAAGTTCTTATAAATCTACTACTTATAATATCAACAAAAGGAAACGATATGGACAGAAGTAGACTGGATATCCTCCTCTTCATTTAGCCAGTAAATAAAAGAGGGACACTTGAAAACAAACTCATGCACAAATGTGTAGAAATTAAACCTATCATATTTGATCCAGAAGACATTTCTGCAGTTAAGTTGGTCAACATTACTTCCAAATAAAACTAAATTTTATTTTAATTTGAAAAGTCTGTTTGTTGCTGGATCTTGAAACAAACATGCATAGAGAACGCAGTCAATATCTTCAGAATCCTGGGCTATTTCTTAATCTATGCACTCTGTAAATGTTTCTCATGTTTCTGAACATTACAAACCAACCCATACATAGAAGCAAATTACCTTAGAAATAGAAGGGATGTATTAATCAGGCCACTGCCTAGAGTCTATACTGTACAGCTAACATTTCACTCTCAAGTTTCAATTTTTGCGAAGATATTGTGAAAAATTAGAATGTTTATCAGAAAGACATCAAAATTGGTTGGGACAGAGAAGTCTTGCTCTGCACTTGAGGTGTATTTCAAAGTGAACACATTCACTTAAAAAAACTTCCACTGAAGTTGTAGTCAATGCAGCTTCTCAAATAGGCCACCACTGACAGCATCTTTGACTTGAAGCCCTTCGGGAAAAAGGCAGGATCACGACCTTCTCCCAAGGATTTTCCTCCTCCCTTCCTAGCCAGGCCCCTTTTTATTTAATGACTTCAGCTTGACTAACCTCAAATACTGCCCTGATTTAAGGACATAGAGGGATGGGTCTCAACAGATCCAGCCACACGATTGAGCAACTAGCTTTTCACAAAGAATTCAGACAAGGAACCTTCCTCTTCCCCCATCCACCCGCCCCGCTTTGTCCAGCATTAGAAGCTATTTTTCCTCCAGATTGCAAAGTGTTCACAAATAACAATTGTATACTGTGAGATCTGAAAGTTGCAAAAAGGGAGAAAGAGAAAAGGCAGAACTGCATCCTTATTCTCTTGCAGGTATTTATCTTCCCCCTAAAGCAACATTTTCTATCAAACTTCAGGACACTTCCCACTTCAAGTATGAGCCAGTAAGACTGCAAGCCATTTTTTTTTATACAGTAAATGCAAGTAATTCAATATTTCTACCATGATTTTTAGACAACATGGAATTATTACTTTCATCCCACATTTTTCGCCATGCATATTGAAAATACCCTGCCTTTCAGATCAGACTGTTACCAAGGAAGTTCCTTCTCTTAAGAAATGAAGAACAAAACTGCTTCAGCTCGTGAGATTTCCAAAGCCATAATTGCTCAGAAAGAAAACTGAGTGGCTGCATTCACTAACTTGCCAGTCACACAGGGCAAAGTCTCAGCAGTCGCATAAATACAAGACCATGCTAAACTTGATGGCGGATAATCTAGTTTAGATATTTAGGAAAGAGAGGCAGGCTAGTGTACTAATCCCACTCATTTGGTCCGTTTATTGTTGAGTGTATTGTGAGAATCCAGAAATCAGTTTAGTCAATGCCAGGAATGTGTGTTATATAAATATTGCTATGTTTGATTATGTGGGAAGTGGCTTATCCCCAGAAATAGACCTTAAAATTACAGCAACCTTTACTTGCTAGGATGGAGAATCTTTAATAGGAATATAATAACAGCATGTCTATTGTTACATCTAGAAAAATTAAGTAGCTCCAAGTTAGCTTCCACTGATTATGCTGACACATATTTACAGAGAAGCAGGCATAATTAATAAACTGCATTATATATATTTTGCCTGGAACTTGTTCAACATCAGTAAAGTAACATTTCATGAATGGATTGATTTTATTTGAATTGATTTGAGTTCTATAGCAGCCCATCTGAACAACTGAGTCAATTTATTGGCTGCCTCCCAATAAATTTCATTGCATTTAACAGGACATCCTTCCTGGATTCTAGACTCAGAAAGTGAACCTGAATAAAGGAAAAGATCAATGAACTTTGAATTTTACCTTAAACAATGGACATAGTCTCAGCCATGTCATCTACAAATTAAGCCACGTGATTAAAAAGGACTTCTTAAAATCATCGGACAACAGTTCAAATGTTGTTGACTATTGTTAAGATGCTTCTTTCTTTCTACCCTCAACTCCTAGAATGGATGGAAGGGCTTCCATCCATTCTAAGAAAACCTATGCTCACTATCTATGTTAAGAGAATCTTTGTCTGCTTAATTATGGCACCAAAAGACATTGACTTTGAATCCACAAAACCAAGAATATTTAAGTAAGGCTTTTGTTTCCGAGTGTGTTTCTTCTAGTTTCTAGAATAATTTTAGAATTTCCTATAGAAATCAAGGGGCAGGATAAAACTTAACTAGGACTAAAATCTATCTAACACCAACTGAAATGAAGATTTAGGCATTGTCCATTTGTCCAGATTTCTCTCCCTCGGTCTGGAGAGCTGGATTGCACAACTAAGTGAACCCTGGTCCAGGACATAATCATTTTTGAAGTGCCACTAAATTCTTAGTGATAGTGTTGCTGCAATGTAAGTCCTCTTCGTTTTGATCCTTAAGACTGACATCTACCATTGACACAGAAGAAAGCAGAGAGGCAGACAAATGCAACCGTGCTTTTCCAATGCTCCACTTTTCACCACCTCTGAAAAGCTTTGCAAGTTGAGTGAATACCCCTCCTAAAATCTTCACCTCCGAGAGGTATTTTTGCAACCCACATCCTATGGGTCCCCAGAAAGTCACGGAGTTTCCTGGGTCTGGTCCCCGAAATCATGTCTTTCCATTTCATTCAGCTCTAATAGCTTCCCCTACCGTTCCGACGCAAAAGGAAAAAGGAAAATACACCCAGATGCGCCCACCTGCAACAACTGCCACCGCCACCATTTAAGTAATCCAGCGACCTCTCTCACCATAGAGCACAACTTCCCTTTCCCCCTGCCCTGGGAGTCAAGCTCCGGCCCTCCTCGGTCTGGCCCCGCTTTTCTGCAAGGCAATCGCCCCCCCCCCCCCCCCGCCCCACCAAGCCCGGGGAAAGTGACCGTCTTTACCTCTTTCGCTGAGGATGCCGTCGATGCTATGTTTGGCTTTTTTCTCGTTCTCTTCCGCTTCCTTACGCTCCAGCTCCCCTTCTTCTTCTTCTCCTTTCCCAAATTTGCTTCTCAAAATGCGGCTGATGGAGCTCACTTGAGAAAGAAAGAGGAAAGAGAGGCGTGAAGCGGGGAACCGGGAGAAACCGGGCTGGGCTCTGAGTCCCCCTTGGGCACATGCTAGAGAACTGGGAAGACGCTTGGAAATAACGGCTTACGAAATGGGGGGGGGTTGTTGTGCGGAGTCCTCTGATTGCAGTTTCCCGATCTTTTATCATTGGTTCTCCCACGTCGCCCCACGCCCCCCATTTCTAATAACTCGAGGGGGAGCTCACACGCTGGTTTCGTTTGCAAAAGATCCTCTTCGGCTAGTTATTGGATCAAAGTAGCCTCTGACTCGCCACAAAACCTTGAACCCTAAAACAATCAGGGGAGTTGAATTTGTTCAGCTCTAAGTTCCCTTGACACGTTGTGCCCAACGCAACGGGCGATGCTTTCAAGCGACTCGGTTACACGGGTCGTATGAATGAATGCGGGTCCGAGCTGCGAAGTTTGACCTTGATGTGTTTTACGACTACAACCCATGGGGCTAATTTATGATTTTAACCTGTAGAGCCAATCACGAAAACTTGTGTTAATTGAAAACCCATGGATAAATTCCGTAGAAGTAAGCGAGTCACGGGAACGCAGCTATGGAAAGGAAAATCTATGCATTGGAGAAGTGGGCGGATTGCCCACGACCGGGAGGGGGGGAGCCACATCGACCCTAAACGTCGGCACTTGAACAACAACAGGTACAAAAAGCTTGTTTTTCTTTAAAAAGAACACGAACCCAAGAAGAAAAAGTTAGCAAAGAACCCAAGTTAGCAAAAAGCAAAGATTGGCTGGCACGCTTGTTCCTAAAGTTATTGAAGTAAGCAGAGCAGTTTTGCAAACTTGAAGTAGTTTGTTCTTAAATTAGCGGAGCAGCAGCTCGAGGGACACGCGATTCCTTCGAAGCCATTTCAGACGGCAGAGTCGTCTTCCAGGCTGCAGAACCGGAGCGACACGCAAGCCTGTGATCTTACCTGCACTTTACCGGCACTTAGGTAACCTTTTGGGGGGATTTCAGTTGAGTGATTTCTCCAACTGCCTGGAACTAGCAGTCCCTGCGGTTTTCTTGGCAAGTTTTTGGAAGTGGTTTGCCATTGCCTGATTCGTAAGGTTGAGAAAGAGTGACTGGCCCAAGGTCATCCATCTGGCTTTGTGGCTAAAGCGGGATTAGAACTCACGGTCTCCTGATTTTCTAGCCTGGAATCTTAATCACTGCACCAAGTAAGGTCCCTACTTATCGCTCTTAGAAAAATTGTCCTACCTATATTTTAAGTGTATTCCTTGTAGTGCACAGTACATGATTTTGGACTCTTGTAAGAATCAAAGCCTTTAATGCCGCGCAAAAAAAGAAAACCGCCTTGAAAAGATTTGCCCTAAACTTCAAAAAACTTAAAGCATAATTGTTTCTACAAGACGGTATTCCTTTCGAGAGGGAAATATCTCTAGATAGCCTTTATATACCCCCCCCAGAAAGAGATGATAATGAAGAGGGGATAACTGTTTCTTTTTCTGATATATTGTACCAATAGATCTCCTGGTTTCTTTTCAAGGACTGAGAGGCCATCACCAAACAGCCCCTCCCGCTTTGTTTTTTTTTCCTTTTGGCTTCTCCCTCTTTCCCTCTCCATTTTCTTCTAATAACTGGTAGTTAGTGTAGATTGGAAATTCTTCTACCAAACTGACTGAGACCACAACAGCGCTCCGGAGATCACGATCCAGAAGGGATCTTGCCTAACGCCAAGGTAAAATGTTTGTGTCTGATATGGAACTATAAGTGAAAGCAAAAACCTTCTTGCGCGGAGCTGCGCACGCACTAACTGCGGGTCTGCCACCCAACCCTGCCCCGGCCTTCGAGGAAAGGAAGAGAAGGAACGAAAGCTTCGCATTATCGGATGTTAAGTAAAAACAAGCCTCCTGCCGCGAAGAAAAAAAAACAAACAAGTGGCCACATGGTGGTTAACTGGACCACGCGAATGTATGACTTGGATAGAGAAGATGTGCCCAGGAAGCGAAGCTCGTGAGCTCTCCTGTGCTCCAGCACCCGAACCCAGTCTGCACGGTCTAGTCAGGACCGCACCGTCTTTTCGCTCTTCCCTTTCATCTGCTACCTCTAAAATAAAGTCTGGCCTTTCGCATTCGTTCCCCGATGGCGGGGGGAAGGGAGGGGGACATGCAGCACCGTCGATAATGTAGCTTCCCTTCCCTCCCCCCTCCTCCCACCGCATCCCCTGGGCTTGAAATCGGGAAGAGCCCACCGCAGCGTTGAATGAATTTGGGAAAGTGCGGCTCCCCAAACCTCACCGTTCTTTCGCGACCCTCCTCTTCAAGGCCATCCGACCTCCCCCTCCCCGGGAGCTCCCTTTCTGACCTGCGGAAACCGGCCAGTTAAGCCTGGTCTGGTGAGCCCCGCGCGGTAGGGGAGGTGGGGGGGGGACAGCGACTTTTCAAAGCGACTGATTTCTAAACAGGGTGCCTCCCTTCGTGCAAGGGTAAGACTAAAGCAAGCATCAAGCTTCCATTCATATCCAGACTTTTCGGATCGATAAAGGACGTGTCAAGGATTCCGTTGGAGCTGGGGAAGGACAGGTAGGATGCAGAACTCCAGAGCTACCGTCTGACTTATGGTAGCTTTCCCCGGCGACTTACCTGAAGGCACGGTGTTTCTGTCGCACACGCCGTCCTTCAGCAGTTTGTCCCGGATCTCCCAGCTAAACATGCCTGCGTTCTCCCGTTTGTACTCCTCGATCTTCTTCTCAACATCCGGCGTCGTCACCTGCTTTAATAAAAACAATCCAGAAAGGAAACAAGGTTTGTATTCTTGGGGGACAGGGAGGGGAGCACGATAAAAGAAGGGGGGAAAGGAGGGAAGGGGCGAGAGGAAAGAGACGGCGGAGAAAAGGGATATAGCAAAAAGGCGAGGTTCGGCGGTGCAGAGAAAAACAGCGCAACATCTAGGACCCCTATCTGGACAAGACTTCGTGCCATCTGTTTTGAAAGTGGAGCTTGGGACGTCTGCCTGATCTAAAGCAGCGAAGTCAAGAATATGATATGATTCATGGCAGACCGTTTAAAATTAGCAAGACCTCCGTAAGGATGAAAACAGCACTCGTTAATGCGGGGACGGACAAATTAAGAATCGATAACTATACTTTTAAAAAGAAGAAAGAAATGTGTGGTTTATTCTCACAAAAGAGATCAAAGGAAAATAAGCAGGCACTCAGTCCCACCCACCCCAAAATATCCATTAAAATTAAACGTTTCTCTTAAAGCAACAAAGATCGAATGCAGAACCAAAGGGTCATGTAATTAAAATATTCAAAAATGAGGTAAAGAAAAATCAACACGGAGAAAAATCCCATTTAATTAATGACAGACAAAATGTTCTAAAAAAGAGTTTTGAAAGTGAAATAAAACTTTCACTGAACAAAAGCAATCGTGGATTTTTTTTCCCAGAAAAGGGAAAGCAGAGGCTGCATTTTTCTGTGTTCACGTAAATCATGCAAAATATTATTTAACATAAATGATAGAACTCCTCTGTTGAAAATGAAATAAACAAAATAAGCTTCAACTTTCATTTTTATAGGACCACAGAGTGATATTCAGTACCTATATTAGCACTTAGATTTCAAATCATCATTCTCTTTAAAGAGAAATGTGAGGGGAGGAGAAAGAATATATGTATGTATGTATGTATGTATGTATGTATGTATGTATGTATGTATATGTAACTTGTAAATAGTGTAATATATCCTTATTAAAAGATGAAACGTATTTTTAAAGAAAAAATCTGCCATAGTCGAAATCTACTTCATAATTTGGATGGTCATTTTGTTAACATTCTAAATGTATAAATATATAAATGTTACAAAATATATACATCTTCATGTCATAAACATTTCATTCCAAAGCAAGTAACTACAAAGTAAAACACTCATTTCAATTGGTATTTATATTCCCCCCAACCCCAAATCTCTTTAGAATCGAGATGGAATTGCAGCAGTTTAGTGAAAACTGGATTACAGAAAAAGAAAAGCTGAAAGTATAGTTTCACTTTGGCTCAACCCTACTTATTAGTCGCATTTTGCTTGCACACTCACTGTCAAGCTGTTGCTAGTATTAAGTAATGATTTTAGGATTGCATTCTTTGCTGGATGTCTGGGTGGTGGTTTTGGTTGAGGTCACTGTAGCAGAAACAGACCTCATTGCCTTGAGAATCCACAAGTGCCCTGAAAGGAAAGGGAAATTTTGGGCTTCTCTGGAATCTAATTTCCATGCTGCTTCTCAGAAACATTCCAGTAGGGTTAGTGGCCAACTGATTGTGGGAAACATACCAGGCTCACCTAAGTCTCCTAATTTAGGGTTGGGTGAGCTACACAAATTCTCTGAACAGCTCTACAAATGAAAGAAGTTAAAAGAAAGGGTCATTTTGCACAGCAACCAGTAAACCAAGGAGCTTTAAGGCTAGGAAGGAGATATCCCTCCCCTCCCCGGGGTACAAGTCCAGCTAGGCAAAGGAGACTCTGTATTCTGGGTCCTCTTCAAGGATGGGGAAGAAAGTCTAAACAATCGGCAGAGATAAAAGTCAGCTTTGTTGGCTTCAGAAGGTGCATCCAAGCTCTCCACCATGTGTGGAAGTGGTTGGAGGACAAGCTGCATTGTTGAGTAACTCTGGTCTGCAGATCTGTTTGGTTTAAGCCTCTTTCCACAATTATGTGAGGACAGGACTAAATCCATACAGACTAAGTTTGCACAATACACTTACCTACAGTTATGCCAAACTAATCCAGTTTTCAGTGGCACAGTGAACACTGAACAAGCCAAAACAGCTGGGCTCACCTGAAACCCAGACTAAAATGGAAACCCAGTCTGGGGGTTCACCATAGAGTTCTCCTCATGAAAATTATCCTTCCCTAGCTGAATCAACAAAAAAGAACTGCCACTGTGTTATCCAAATTGTTACTCCCACTCTATGCTCATAATGCCCTGCTAACCAAAAGCTTTGTCCTCATAGATTGGACATATCATGCTAGAGACTGGCATGTCTGGTATATTTTGCCAGTACATTTCCAACCTGGTCAAGGGACCCTTCTGACCACTCTCTACAACTTATAACCTGATTGGACCTCAAAAAACTTCAAGGAGTTTTTTTCTCCCATATCTTCTTGCCCATGGGGGGGGGCTATTTTAGGACAAAGATATGTAAAACAGTTAATAAGTAAGGCTACCAGGAGAAAGGGTCTATGGGATTTCAAATTACCTATATAAACCTCCCAAGAGAAAGACTGAGACAACCACAATAAAGAAAGCTAGAAGAGAAGCTGAGATAAAGGTGGTAGACTTTCTCCAAAAGTGCTCTGCAAGAAACATTGTCCTTTATGCTAACTGAGCCAAGCTAACCTTGTTCTCAAGTAAGGTGAAACTGCAATTTTAGAGGATCTTTACCCATCACCTGACTGTCTTCTGAGATACTCACCTTGGGTTTGCTGCCCCCAATGGCCCCCGGCCTTATGGAGCCTGTCTCCTGGTACCTGCAGAGAATCTTGGAGACACAGCCATGAGACACTCGGAGCTGGCGGGAGATGACGCATGGCCGGATGCCATGATGGGCCATCTCCACGATCTTGTGGCGAATATGGTTGGGTAGGGGCCTGCCATTGATAAAAACACCTCCGAGCTGATTGACTCGGCCTTGGCCCAGAGGAGTGGACACTGGATGGAGGGAACATAAAAAAAAAGTACTTGTTTGGGAATGAGCCAAGTACATCTAGATGTCCTTCCTGCCAAATCTCAGAGAAGAGGGACAATGCACAGGACAGGCATAAGAGGCAAGCATAAGAGACTAGCAGTAGACCTTGACTTCACCATATGATGGGAAGCTAATATTATCCTGAAACTCAAATCCAAAATACTTTTCCTGGAACATGACAGTCACATATTCATAATTAGCTAAACCAGATGATTTACTTCGACTAAGGCTATTGAATAAGCCAATTCGTACTCTTAGTAGAAAGCAGACAGCCCATTTAGTTTCTGACCTTAAAGAACCTTCTTTCAAAATGAGTCCGTTTAAAGTTCATATTGAATAAATCCTTTCATCTTCTAGACAGATCAAGTAAAAATTTCAGGCTGCTCTATTCAATATGAATTTGAAATCCAGCAATCTTGCACTGTACCATAAAAGCAACCTAATAAAAGAATTCTCTCCCCAACTCTGAAAACAAACGAGCAAACAAACAAACAAAAAAGACAGGAGAGAATTTCTAAATTAAAACAGTGGGAAATTTGTGACAGCATAGAAAGCTACTTCTGTGATAAGTAGCAACTTGTAGTTGTCTGCAATTAAATCTCTAAGTGTATTACTTTGGACCATGCCTGTCTTCTATATCTCAAAAAAAAAAAAAAAAAACCACTAAAATTCTGTAGGTATTTGTGAATTGTGGGTCAAGGTACAATACTTTTCTGTATATAAATGGTTCTATTCAGAGAAAAAGACCTGTTGAAATAAATGGCTTGAAGTCAATACTAACTATACTAAAGGATTTTACTTGCTTGGTCTGCTCTAATCATAGCTGAATCTCATTTCAATCCACTATTATTTTTTAAGGGACATTAAAATTTTAATTTAGGTTCTATTTGGATTTTAAAATATAGCTAGAATTGTTTAGAAAAGGATATTGTTCTACTTACTAGACAAATCTGTGATAAGAATACAATACTGCATTCATCTGATACAGTGAAGTTGAAGACTGACTCGGAAAAAAACAGATTTTAAAAAATAATTTGCCATCTCTGTCCACCTATCCCTTTGCTTATTAGATACACGTCCATTTTCTACCAAAGCAATTTGCATAGTATTGCTCACTGTTTGCTTTGCCACCTCGTGCACCAGCTGGCTAAAGATTTGCCACTTTCCTGACTCTCGTGCGAGTTAATGACTTCAAATGTATACACTACGTGACTACCCAGAGAAGGAGAAGACGTTTCACCTGTATTAATAAACAGGGCAAAAGCACTATACAACTAAACTTTTCTACGAGTCAAAAGAAATGGAAAGGAAACGCAGACGATGCCTCTGCGAATCGGAAATGTACAAAATTGCGTTTGAGTTTGGGCAGATCCCTTTATTATTCTAGGTGGGGGGTGGGTCTGTTTACACAAAGACATTAGACAGAAGTTTTTAAAATTTTGACAAAAGAGGGAAGTGGGGAAATTAGAAGCTGAACTGAAATAGTATGCTTTCAAAGGAAATTGTTTGGTAAGAAAAATTAATCATTGCTTCTATAAAGCACTAGAAATAATTAAATAGGTCTGCTAATTCTTGTTAGAAGCAAGGCTTTCTTATTATCCAGAGGAAACTAGATAGAACTAAAGAGAAGACCTGGCGCTACGAACTCTTTTCTACCTAAAGAACTTTATTTTTAATCCCTAGCTGATTTAGAAATGTAACAACGCCGTTTCAAAATGGCTACGAAGTTTCTTGGCTCCTTCACCTGCGAGGTACGGAGGTGGCAACTTTAACCCACTATTTTCAATGGCATTTAATGTGGGCGGTGGGGTGGGGGGAGAGAAATCGACTGTTGGAGTGCAGCTGATTTCTACCTTCTCCAGCGGCATTCTTTCTCTCCCTTTTCCGTTCCTACCAAAAATACAAATCAAGTAAACTAAAGTTTGCAGGGAGAAGCCGGGAAAGGGAGTAAAGTCTGGCGCACGTAGTTGTTGTTTTTTTTTTCAAACCAATAATGCTGCTGTGTATCCCTATATCCCTATCTCCGATTTGCTTCCTTGGAAGTGTGCCACCTGAACTGCAGTGGCCTTGATTTTCTTTTCCATTGGCAAGGGTGCTCATTCCGAGAGCTTCCCGCTTCGCCCTCGCTCGATCCAAGTGCGGAGAAGTTGCTTCTTCAACTCCGCTAACAAATTAGTTCCAGAAACGCAAGGAGACTCCAGATCCACAACCAGACCCATTTCATCGGCCTCCCTCACCCAAACGAAGACTACAGGGATTAAAAACGCCTCCCCCTCCCTTTATTTTAAGTTCCCTTTCTCCAACTCTCTGGCTGCTCCACCGTTCTTACCTTCTAACGGAAAACCGCTGCGAGGATAATTCTGTCCGGGAGCTGGTCGCATCATCCTGGGGACAGCTCCACCCAGAGTTGTCATTTTAGTGGCACCTTGGCTTTCTTAAACGTATTGTATCCAAGAATTGAGAAGGGGCTTTGGGGGTGGGTGGGGGGGAGGCAGGTCAGTGTGGATAGCAAGTCCGCATAGAATAAGGGGAGGGGGAGGTTTAATTTAAAATCTATAGAGATCGGGATTTGAAACGTGAGGGGGGGAGGAAAAGGAGGGGGTCCAACTTAAGGAAAAGGGGGAAGGGAAGCTCTGTTCTCCTCTCTGTCAGAGGTATCTTAGAGCGAAAATGTGGCAGAGAAAGAGAGAAGAGCGGGAGGGAAAAGTTTTGCCCGAAAAAGAGGGATTCGCAACGGCTTCAGCTGGCTGGAGAAAACTGCGAACTGACGGCCCTTTCCCCCTAGGACAAACTCGCATTGATCTCGCCCGGCTTGAGTGGCAGGCGGCGGGGATGATTTCTCCTTGTTCTTGATTTGCAGTGAAAGGAAACTCAGCTCTGGAGTATTTATTAGTTCTTTCACCCCAAGCTTCCTTAGGATCTCTGCGTCGCGATTGGCCAGCCGGAAGACTGTCCCGTCTGGAGAAGCCCGGAGCTGATTGGACGAAAGCGCCAACTTTCTCTTCTCATCCTGACAATTGAAGAGCTCCGGCTTTGGAGTGTCACCCGCGACTTGCCTCTCTTTCCTTGATAAAGTGTCTTTCTTTTACTTCTTTTACTCCCTTTTTTCTTCTTTGCAGAAAAATGGTTGGGCGAGGTGGGGGTGGATGTAGGAGGGTGAGAGGAGAACCGGTCTATTTTTATTTTATTTATTTATTTTAAATTTTCCGTCGATCCGTCGGTCGGTGGGTCTTTTTACAACTTCTCTTGGCACAATGCCATCGGGGAGAAGATGACAATAGGGAACTGGCCAGCCTCCGGATTGCTTGGATTCAGAAACTTTCTCTGCCCCCCCCCACCCACCCCACCCCTACCTTTTCGGTCTTTGCTGTGAGGTTATAAATGTGCAGCTGTACGTGTTAGCCTGGAGAAATTAAAAGAGAAACTTCGCCGTTTCTCCTGAGAGGTTTCTTTGTCTTCTACACTCCAGACTAGATTCCCCTGGGCGTGTGTCTGACGTCCACCAAAATACTCTCCGACCCCTCGCCCCCCCCCCCCCCCCCCAACCCCCCCCGATGCCCTTCCCCGTTTCCCTCAAAACTTTTCTAAGCTGCAGTTGCATTGGGGAAAATTAATCAGGGGTTTTTTTTTAATTCCCGGGCGTGGGGGGTGGGGGAAAGTGACGGACGGGGGACGGGCACAAGCCAATGGTGAAAACAGCCATCTCCGTCTCTCCCCAAGAGAGGTTCCTGTTTTCAAGACTGAACAGATCGAGGCATCCCTTTGAATTCATTTATGCAATTTTGCGTGGGGTGGAGGTATACAAACCCAAGACACCATGTATGTATTTATTAAGCCGAACTTCGCTAAGAAGCGCTTCTTCCCGGGAATTTATTGTAGCATTGAAACTAAACTGCTGGGGGAGAGAGAGAGAGAGGGAAAAGATTTTTTTTTAAAGAGAGGGAGAGAGAGAGAGAGAGAAAGAAAAGAAAAGACTGACTAGGAGCTGAAGTGACCACAGCAGGATATGACGCCAGGAGTGTTGTAAAGACTGTCTGTCTTTAAAGAAGGTACCATTGTGCATGTCCTTTTATTTATAACTTGGTAAGTGCCAGCAAACTCGCCTCCTTTACACTCTGAAGTGCCAGCCCGGCTTTCCACAGCGGTCCTTTTTTTTTGGCAATAGTCTATTCAGTAACTGTCACTCTCAAGCTTCAAGTTATTCAAGACCTTAATCAATCAAAGGGATGAGAATCGTTCAGGTTCCCCCCCCCCTCTTCTTTGAAATAAAGGAAACAATGGGGTCGGAGCTGACGCGCTCTCTTCCCTCTCCCTTTCCTCAACAACTTATGATTCATTTTGGAATTATTGATTTTTAAAAACAAAACAGAAAGGCTGCTCATTTCTACCTCGAAATGAAAAGTCAGCGCTGAGATTAAAATAAAGTGAAAAAAAATTTAGATCTGAGAAACGAGGTACCCTTTCCGGCCAATGTGACACTTAACGACTAAACAAAATTCCATGAGCAGAAGAATTTAAAGTATGGAAAAGTTTTTTTTTAAAAAAAGACAGTCAGGACAATGTGTGTGCGCGCGTGTTTTGTGTGTGTGAAAATGCATCTTAGTATATTATTTGGACGGGTAATATAAAAATCGAGATTCTTGGATGTCACTTGGACATCACTGAAAAGAAGTGAATGTGCTAACAGGAGTTTGTGATCACCACTGTTAACATGTGCTCACTTGGATAAGGCGGCATAAGGAATTTGTTTTACTTTCTAAAGCATTCAGAATGCCTGGAAGGGAAGCTGAAATGGCGTTTGGAAGTATGGAGAGGAAAATGACTTTAAAGATAACAGATGCTTTACCAAAGTTGAAGAAGGAAAAGAAACATTGCTTGTCGTTATATTGTTTTCATCCACAAAAGATTAATTTCAATGAAATTATGACATTCAAATAGTAAGATTAGAATTGAAGGATCAATCATAAATGTTCCCATGAAAATCAGCTGCATCTGAAAAACAGGCCAGAATCCAACAATAATTGTTTTTTCAAAGCACTTTAAATTTCTCAGACTATTGTGTAGAATTAATTGAAGGAGTTAAAGCTTTTCATCATTTTAAAAGCCTAATTATTCCCACTCCTTTCCCAAATCTTCCCAAACTTTTATTTAGATATTAGATTTCCCCGTTGCACCGTTGCATTTACGGGTTAATAGTTGAACAATGTAATACTGCATGTGTTCTGGGGTTTACATGATATCTTGAAGCCTGGATATACATTTATGGATACATTTAAACATAACCTAAATTAAAACCCCATTCTTTGAAAGCTAGTTTTATTAAATCTAACGAATTGAAGAGCCATACAATTTTGTGTGTCTAGTCACCGGTAAGTCCAACAGGATACTTCCAGGTAAGTAACTTCATTGAAGAAGGAAATTTCCCTGTAATTCTTACCCTTATAAATTACCTATATTTCAGTTAAAACTTTCACACCCATAAGCCTACTATTAATTCTATGAACATCTTGCCCCATGATGGATTGACGGGAAATACAAAACAGTAAATTATTAACAGACTGGATCCAGTCAGATTGAGGGCCAACAAAACAAGTACAAGAATTTAGGAGGAGCGGTTCTATGCATGTTTACTCAAAAATAAACCTTGTCGGAATAAATGAAGTTTGCTTCCAAATATGTGTGGACACGATACTAAACTTAATTTTAAGGTTTATGTCCAATATCAGTCTCAAATTCTTATGAAGTATCAGAAGTCCAACCAAAACTTTGGATACCTCAGAACCCCATATAGGTTAGCCCTTTCTCTCTCTCCGTTCCCAACAGTGTTCTTGAAACTAGCACAGAAACACGCACAGACCCTGATTTCCCGGGTGTTTCGACGAACTGCAGTTCGGAGAGGCTGAGAAGTATTATTTCACTGTCTCCCACTGCTTTAGAAAGTGAATGGTTATAATTTGCTATTAGTTCCACTCCAGTAACATCTCACTGCCTGGATGGCTGCTCTAAGCAAGGAGGCTTAAGTTCCTCGCTTGATCTGTATAGATGCTGTGTGTGCGCCTGGGCAGCACAAACTCATAAGACTAGTGTGGAACCTTAACTCATTTAAAACTCCGCTTGTGTAGCTGAATAAAATCAACATCCAGATTGGCTTTTGCTGCCCTGAGCGAGTGCACTTTAAGGTGCAATTCTCCGCCACTGCTTCTCCTCCCCCTTCCCCCATCATTTCACACATCCTGAAAGGATTGTCAGCTGTTCCAGTTTCTGCGCTGCTTTCCATTTATTCCAACGGATTTCTCTGGAGAAAGAAAAATTCCGATTGCAGAGTTACTTCGATCGTTTAATTAAGCCCCAAAAGAGTTCATTCGCTCTTGGGGTACGAAGGAACCCCAAGTGCCGAGGAAGGCATTACTTTTAGCAAATACTGCACAGATCTCACAAGCCACGATAAGAGTTAATTACTTTCTAAAACATTCCTTTAAAAAATGCAGAGTCCCGAACTGTAGAGCTGGTTGCTTCTGCCACGATCCTAAATATTGTTTCCCATGAATTTCAGTAAAGGGACAAACAAAATGAACTCAGTTTAGGACAGGACTTCCATCTCTGAAAAGCTGCAAGGAACGCTGAGGAATCGGACCAAAAGCCAACCTTGACCAGCGTTCTGTTCTTACAGTAGCCAACCAAGAAATACTTAAGGACAAGAGCGCCATCTAAAAACGTGGATTGTTGAATGCTTGATGAATAAATCATGATTTATTGTTTGGGCTCGCAGATTCCACCAAGCCATACACCATGGTTTGCAAACCACAACTGATTTGATGCACAGGAGAAACGATCCAAGCGACATAAAGGCCTAGAAGAGATGGACCAAGCCGGCCTGGAGCAACCCGGAGAATCTAGATTCCTGTTAAGAGAGGCATTTTATCAGCAGGGAGCCTCGCTGGCTCGAGTGGGTCGTTCTGATAAGAGGGCGAGAATGCCTGTCAAGGGCGCTGAATCTAGCGGGGTTAATATTTAGGTAAGCGTTTACAGGAAGGCAGCCTTTGAAAGAAACCACTGAGAATGGGTTTCGTTGGATCCTAGGTATGGCTTCTGGACTGAAGCTGAGGTCACTAGCGGGCTACTCTATGGGCAAAATCTAGAACCGCTGAGTGATTATTAACCTTCAAGAGCGATTGAAGCTTGCTGTATACTTGCTGAAGAATAAGAATTGCTCACTTCAGGATTTCGGCATTTAGGATTGGGCTGAGAACCACGATCTAGGAAGCGTAGGAACCCTTGTTCTCTACTCTTCCCCGTCCTTGGAATGTCATTGCCCGAGAGTGGGTTCTAAGTCGCAGCCTTAGGACCGCAGCCGCCGGTCTCCCACAATGCCCTGGATCCTAATCATTTTGAAGGGCAGATCCCGCCTAACGAACTTTCTCCCAAGTAATCGAGGTTTATAGAAGCAGCTACGGACCGAGCCGTTGTTTTCCCGCAAAATACGTTTTTCGTGGCTTCCTTCTTCCCCCACGACTACTCCAGCCTCCTTGAATCCAGCCGCCCGCTTTCTACCCCAGGGTGGGCAAAAGGGCCGGGCGTTTTCGGGTCTGGGATTCTTGGTCGGTTCCCCCGCCAGCTCAGGGCCTTTCTCCGCCCTACGTTTAATATGATGATATCTTCATCGCAACGCAGAGAACTTCAGCAGCGGTGCCAGGCGCGGGGCGACCTTGCTGAAGAGCTCCATACAAGGGAGTTTGGCTGGAGTCGCCGTTTGTAATTGGAACATTATTACCCTGTAGATCCCTTCGGGAGAGAGAAGGGGGTGGGGGGTGGGGAATGAGTGGATGGGGAATCTCCGGCAGGTCTGCATGCAGAGTTGTAACTCGGCGAACAGGAATTCCAGCAGTGTTCTCCAAGATATACAAGGCCTGGAGTCTCTTACAAGAAGTGTAGATTTTTATTCGTTTAGATATAGCGCTCCATGCCGGATCTGGCGCAGTTCATTCATTAGAATGATGAACAATATTCTCGAATAGCTGGTAACGGATACCAAATCACCATTATCACGATTTCTGCCTTTAAATAAAGGTTCTATGATTTACTTCTACTGTAATGGAGGCGAACCTGAATCTGTTAAAAACGTGCAGCTTTAAAAAAAAATTATCATCTAATAAGGGAAGTTATGCAGCCTGTGGGCGGCAATTTTAGGCTCATTTGAACTCCATAGTAGTTCTAGTTAAATCTTCATAGGATTACGCTGCACTTTTGGCTCTCCTGTCCTCAAATTACTTCAGCAAGTGTGGTGAAGCCCCAAACTTCAGAGAAAATGTACAATTTGTAAGATATACTGCTAGATGCAGTATTTTTAAAAAGATAATTATACTCAGGAATTCGAGGTTCCATATGAATGCCTGGAAGTCTTTCAAAGAGGAAATGAGCTTTACTCTGAATGCAATGCTTTTTCTTATCTTTATTTAGATAAAAAAAAAAATCAGGATGGAAAGGGAAGAATTCAATGGGAATGATGAGAAGAAGAATTCATCTGAGAAAAAGTGAAAAGAAAGTAGAGCTAAAAACTCTTCGCGTCCTCTAAAAGAAGGGTCTATAGATCCGCTCTCAGCTAATTCCCATAGGACAAAGTAGATTGATCTTTCAAATGGCGTGCATGGCAAATTTGTTGACTATGCTTGTGTCATGCAACCAGACTTTCCTTTCATAGCCTACAATGAAATGAGAGTGATGGGCTGTCAAAATTGTTCCACCAACCAGTAAGATGAGTAATCAGAGAGGAGGGAAAAGTAAGAAACTAACAACATTATATATGCAGAGTACGCAACCCTAGGAGAAATGTAACATTAAAAAAAGAAAACATTATCTATGTAGTGATAATGGTGGCAACATTAGGGTGTTATTGTTTTTGACTTTTTAAAGAGTGGCAAAATGGCCTCCCAATTATTCAACATCAATATTTATTTTATGCTAACCTTATTCAAATAAAAGAACCAGACTTTCTGAGAAAGTTCAAAATTCCCCAAGTGATTGGCTCATGTTTTTCCTGGTGCTCTTGGGTCACCTTGACACCCACTTTTGCCTCTACATTTTGGCCTGAATGGCCTCTCCTGCTGGGCATACCAAATCATTTTTGCAAGCCACCAGCAGATACTGAGGGTCCCAATCCTGGGCCGGATGTTCGGTTGGAGGAAGGGCAACCTTGGGCCTGTGGCTTTTCATTTCCCAAGAGGAGACAAAAGTCTCTCAACTTTCCCCTGCCCGGGAACTGCTCACATTCCAGGCGACGATTAGCTACGAATGCTTGGACCCCCATATTAGCCCAGCGGAGAGGATTTCACGCCTTTCCAGTGGAAATAGCTAAAAATGCTTCTGCTAATTATAGAGCTCTTCCAGGCCAGGTGCACTTTTAATTGGATTAGTAAGTGCTCTATATTAAACTTGCAGTACATCAAATGGGCAAGGAAAATTAGAGCTATTAACAACACCCAGGCAATTATTTATGGACGGTAACATTAGTATGTTTCTCCCCTGTTAGAGGGAAAAATATCAATTATGCTATTTAGCGGGCTTTTCCCCTCCCAAATATAGTCGGAAGCTTTACTCTTGCTGTTTTTCTCTCTCGCTCACTTTAAAATTCATCTAACTATAAAGGCATTTCTAAGCTCCTTGAGACAAGAATAACCTGTTAGATCTCCTCCTCCCTTTTTGCTGCTTTACTTTGAGTCATCTATAGGTCTGTGTAACCAACCATTTCAGCTGCTGTCTGGGAAATAAGATTATTTGAAAAGCAAATGGGACTTGCTTATGGCTAACTATATTTAAGATCCCGCTAACAAACTATAAAGAGAAACTAAAAACAAAATCCAGGATTGTGAAATAGTTTTCTAATGGATTGGGAAGTTTTATATGCTAGGGGGGAAAAACCAGTATTAAAGTATTAATACTTTTAAAAGTATTAAAAAATATTAAAAAGCTTGATTTTACTTTTTACTGTACATTCTAATTAGAATATATAATTCAGCTAAAGTTGAACATGTTTAAAAATTTTCATTTCATCGAAGAGTTAATGCCTTAAACTCCAACTGAAATTTAATTTGACAAAATTTACCTTTCACTGAATGTTGCTCTTTATAAGTATACTATTTTGGTACAGTGGTTGTTCTGCACTGCTTTCTCTTATGCAATACAAGTTTGCTGTTGATGGTGTTTGTTTTTCTTTTGCTTTGTTTCATTTTATTTTTAGTGCCTTGTCTCACAGGTTTTTGTTTTTTTTAATTCTATGGCTCAAAATTGACAGTCACAAAAACCTGTATATACAATGTATGTTGTTTTATTTGTTGTAGAGAACATTGGAGGAATTAATTATCCAATTTTGCTACTTTATATTGTTTCTTCTTTGCTGGGTTTCATTTTAGTACACAGAAAACATAATTGCTTTTTTCCAAACAAGGTGGCAGTTTAAACTCTACAAGAGGAAAATAGTGTCCTGATTTGAATGGAGGGGTGATTCAGTATTTTGTTGTAATACAAAAGGGTTAGCTAGACAAACATTGATCCCAGGAGTGACTTCTTGCCTATTGTCACAGGCTAGAAAAGATCAATGCACAGTAATTTTAAAGACCCATAAGTAGGTTGGGGAAGTGAAGACATTGTGAGAGGGAAGTTTTGCTCTAGTCACTAGATTTTACTTCCTTGTTTCTGTGTTTAGGTTTGTCACCTAATTTGTGTGTGTGTGTGTGTTTATTTTCAGCAATTTATGAATTATCCAGATAGAATTACAAACCGGTTCTACTCATCAGCTAAATATATAGATTTAACTTTAGTTGATCAATCAGAAGACATGCAACCATTGCTGTCTAGACCAAATCTTACTGAAAATAATTAGATTAACTTGTGAGAATTTATGTTTAGGATTGAACGATATATGTTCAGGAGTCTCAAGGAGTATCATCTCATCCTGCTTACCTTGAAATACAGTACATACGCTGTGTTTCAGCAGATGTGATTCAGCTTAATTATACATACAATTACAGGTTCTAATATTGTACATTGTTCTCTGCTTCCTTCCTTCCTTTTTTTAAAAAAACAAGTATACAATTTAACTTTTAATTCCTGACAAATTGTCAGGAACTTAATTTTTTTAATTCTCTAAATTTGATTTTTTAAAAAATAAATAAATAAAGAAGGAATTTAAGTTTCAGTTGAAGTGTTTAGAATCTAGGCAATACAGTTTCCATAGATTTGTAAACAGAGGGATATTCCAGATTAGAATATGCAGTTATTTGAGAGCAATGAAAAACTGAAGTTAAGAGTGAAATAAAGAAGCAGTTTAGAATCTAACCTAGTTCGTTCCATATAGGAGTAAATTATTTGTAGGAACTGTTTCCAATGGACCATGTTTACAGAATAAAGCTAAACAAGATTTGACTACATCCCAATGACTCTCAGATAGATCCACCTTTAAATGTTGAATTCTGCATATGCTCCCAAATACTCCTAGAGGAGAGCACACAGAATTCCAGATAGGCCTAACACTCTATTGCCATTGAACATAGTTATCACTGGGGTTGCTCCGCAACCTACAGCCCAATTGTTTTTATAATTGGAACTAAGTTTAAAAAGACATTCAAGGGACTTTTACATGGAAATAATAGTACTTTCAGACTACAGCTTTACCAGACTGAAAGTAGCCAATGCAATCCAATGGAAGTTCACTTGGCAGTAATTCATTGTGTTTAATGGGCATTTTTTGCACACAGAACATTTGCACGGGGCTTGGTGACATACCTTCCTAGTTGTTAACATAGTTCATTTTCCTAAGGGGAAAAATAAATGTACCATCTTTAAAATGAAAGGGCTTTCTTCAATTTGCTGATAATCCAAAATCTTGGTGAGAACTGCTTTCATTTTGGCCAAATAGGTAACTTGTTTTCTTGTTTTATGTTCCCAGATTTCATTTGTTATATATTTTAGCAAGGAATTTAAAAACACACAAACCAAAGTAATCCTAACTATACCAAGACAATAAGGAAATTTGCTAAATTATGCAATCAAACTTAGTTTACCAGAAGACAGTGTGGCTTATTTTCAAATAAAGGAACAGTGGCTTCAGCTATGAAAGGCTATGAAAATAATCATTCAGGCTAGATCATTCAGGTAATATGAAGAAATAAAAAAACCCAGTGAGTTGTTTGACAGTTTAATACATTTGAGATTTGGCCAGGGACTGCTATCTACTGGTAGGAGTTAAACAATGTTTATGAGCAAATCTGATTGAATACAATGTAGTATAGTGGCCTGTACAAAAACCACTGTGATTATAAGGAAAGTGAACAAATAATTGTGCAGAGCAAGCAGTTGTAAACTTGTTGCACTACTGAAAGCAAGTAAGTTTTTAAGTAAGTTCTTAAGTAAGTTCACTCAGTGTCACTGGAGGGAGACTCTTTCTCAAGAAATGAGTTTCCCTGAAAAAAGGATTGCTGGATTGTTATTCCTCTGAGTGGGTATAGGTACTAGTATCTGGGTTTTAGCTTACTAATCGAATAGGCATTTCTGATTGTGTACGAGGTGGGAAGAGAAATAAAGAGATCCTTCTGCCAAAAGCAAGGATTAGAAAAAGCTATTAAAGGGAGCCCAGCGGTTTTAGCTGCACTTCTGTTTCCACCACCAACTGAGGCACATAAGGTTGGCTGCTTCTCCACCCCCACAGTTCAGTCAAGTGTCCCCAAGGCAAAGGAAGCCCAAATTCATCAAGAAAAACTGCAGGAAGAAAGGCAGAGTCATCCACCACCAGGGAAAGTGGCCTCTCAGTATCCTGCTAAAGAGCATGAAAGGAGATCAGTGGAACTGATCAGAGACTGGTAGACCCGATTCAGCTAGTTGAAGTCATCTTCCCAGAGCTAGTGAACTGGTTATATTCAGTTCTCTGGATCCATTTGCAAGCAAACATACTACACACATACTGTACCTTCACACATACCATTCATTGGATGTTACTTCTTTGGTCAGGGAAGAATACATTTTATACTGAAGTTTTCTACCCATATCCTCCATGCGTTAACTTGATCATGTCACTTCTACAGGATACTATGAGGTAGCCAGGCTATCAGCCCCACTTATAAGAGTGTGTGTGCCTTACGCCAAGGAATAAGTAAGATTAATATTGGAATTATAATGTTGATAGTAAAGATATAGGGCTTTCCCTTACATAAGAAAGTGCATGAAACATTATAAGGCCCATTTGATTCCATATGATTTTTTAAATATATTTGTGTACCAGGGAAACAAGTGAACCTACTACAGTGGTACAATTCATTCCAGAGTGAATGAATTCCCATTGCTGGTTATGGATCATTCTTAATAATTCACTGTGAATCTATCTTCTGACTGATTTCAGTGGGAATGGAATTGTACTCACTTCATTGGTTACAGCAAGGGAATGAGTGAAGAGGTAAGACTGAAACTCTAATTTCTGTTTTTTCCAGATCTTTAAATTCTAATCAAGGAAGAGGATGTATAAGATTTTCAGGTTAGATCATTCTATGAATGAAGTAAAACTGTGGAGACAGAACAAAGAATTGTGATGTAAAACTGCTCTTTAATGCATATAGAAGAAAATAAAATCTTACTAAATTTAGGACTAATAAAAACCAAGCCTTTATCTCACATTTCCTGACTTTATTCATTGATACTTTGGAACAATAAATTCAATACCAGTAGTAGTATAATCCTTTTGAGCATGCAAGCATCTCAGAATCAAGCAAGCAAGGCATTCAAATTAAGTAAAACTATATTATAAGGATTTTGCCCCAAATATAGTTTCTTATTTTTATTCACAGCTAATTACTTTTAGATGAACATCTCAGTTTACAAAAAATAGTTAAATCCATTTTTAATTAGAAGTATTGCAAGTGTGTTTTATTTAATTCCATGAAATGGGTGGCCTTAGCAGGTTTTTCAGATTATATTTGGCTTCTGAATGTGAGTCAAGTCAGAATTAGGCTCCAAAAAGTGGGCAGGGAGGTGTCAAGAACTAAATTTGTGTAGTGCTTAAGGTATCAGGCTAGAAATTGGGAGATCATGAATTCCAGTCCCACTTTAGGCCCAAAGCTGCCTGGATAACCTTGAGTCACTCTCAACCCTAGGAAAAATTATATATGTGTTTCATTTTAGATAGCGTCCAAAATGTCTTGCTAATTTCAGTGGAATATAGCTTCTAGTGCAATTTGCTTTAAAGCTCAAGGTTTCCTTCATGTTTTATACGTCCGTGGCTTATAAAAAACACACACACAAATTGCCCTTAAAACTCCAGGTAAATTGCTCTGATATGCTGATGAGCGCTCTCCTGAACTTTTAATGTAGCTCTAGGCTTGGTTGCAGTTGGACCTGAGCAAATTCAACTGTGGCTGGGACCTCAGTCAGTATTAATTCTACCAGACTTATCTCCACTCTAGTGAAGTTGCATATTCCCTGTCCCCACAGCTTCTCATTTTGCCTTCCCCCCTTCTCCAAAAGGACTCCTAGCTTTCTTCCCTCTCCTGCCTTTTGCCTTCAAGACAATTTTTGAATCAAGTAGTCTGAAGATTAATTGGTTGGAGGGCACATTTTTCTCCCCCCCCCCCGAAACATAATACAAGAACTCAAAAGGAAAAGAAAAACATAAAGAAGAGAGAAAGAAAAAAAATTAACAGCCCAGGCCCTAGCAAAAGATTAACATTTGGAATCTTAGGGAATGTAATCTGCATATCTAATTGATTCCCAGCATATCAGTTTAAAGGATAAAGATGTATATCTCTACACGATTGAGATTGCATTAATAGCCACATAAATAAAAGGTTGAAAAGTCATCAGGGAGTCCTTTGAAGCCTATGCCTGTTGCTTTTACAGTCAGGCCACACTTCTAAGAGAGCTCTTTGCTGTTGTTTTAAAGAACCCAGAAACTAGAGCTCAATCGTAAAAGATCAGGTACAGCACAGCATGGGGGGACCAAAGCAGGTGCATCCAAAATAAAGGTGATGGGCAAAGCTCCATCACTTCTCTGTCAACAAGAGGATCAAACAGAGAGGGGAGAGGCAAAAAGCCTTTTTTTAAAAAAAATGCTCCAGATTTCTTTATGCTGAGCTCCAGGTATATTAGAGAAAAAAAGATTATCTTGATAGAAAATGCATTTATAAAAACACAAAGCCACTAGGCACCACACTGGATGAAGACAGAAGAAAGGAAAAGGACAGAAAAAAGAACTGAGCAAATAGAAAAGTTTGCTTCAGAGTGATTAAGGCAGCTGCAATAATCCAGACAATCACTAGATGATAGCAAAGAAACAACAATTGTCACTCTCTGTTGCCATCATATATATCGCATCTCTGTGATAGGTATAGCTTGTCAGATGTGTAGGGAAGGACTAGGTTGAAGGAGACTGGTCATGATTCAGAATTCTACAGAGGTAATTCTAGAACGCTTGCAGTTGGTATTCTATATACCTTCACCAACTCTTGTATCAAGATCTGAAGGAATCTCCAACTTGAAATCTTTCTATCCTCATCCTAGTCACAAAAAAATTATGCAATTGTTTTATACAAACAATGTAGATTTTTAAAAATGTTATTTTTATTTTAGGGGTGGGATTGGTTTCGTTTGCTGCAATTTTTAAACAGTTAAGAAACAGAAATCTTAACCATCCCTCTGCAGTTCATCAGATATCTAAATCTATCTTTTACCCACTTAAATCAATCATCATATTTAGAATGAAGAACTCCATATGTAGTATAACCATCTGATTACCAAGCTCATCTATGGTGTATTAAAAGTTTGAACCGTTATTACCAATGGATCAGTCTTCTTCAATGGTGAAAGGTTCTGTATTAGTGTCAATGTTACTCGTCTCTACCAGAGACAATGTTACTTGTCTCTGGATCTCAATTATCATATTTAGAAATACCAATAGTTAGGGAAAATAATGTAAGATAATTATTATCCTTCTGCCCATGTTGTGAGCTTTATCAAATTCCTCTTTGGCAAATATATAACACAGAATACAGTATTGGACTAAATGGGCTTTTGATTTTTCAATGACCCATAGAACTATATATGGTTTAATTCAAATGTCAAGTAAATTCTCAGGGTGGAATCATCACATTTATAAACTCAGGTAGCTAAATATCTATTCAGAGTGCATTTTTAAAAATTAGCCTCAGTCATATCTTTTATATTAAGGTCTGCAGCCACTATGTCTCATGACTAGTTCTCTGTTCAACATTAATTTTACATATTTTTATCAACTGTGTAGAAGAATTGTTATTTTTTGCATGTCACCTAAAAGTTCTTGTTTAGAGATGCACACAAAATGGCAAGTCAAAATGAGAAAGATGAGAGTTCATTCATTTCCCCTAACATATTCTTCAACACATCTCCTTAGTAGAACTAATCTCAGACATCTAAATAATATATTGTTGTTTTTATTATAATAGAAAATTGTTTTAAAATGGAAACTGATTCATGAAAATATGGTTACACAGGAAAATGGATTTTTTCCCCTTTCCAATCCTCCTTTGTTTAGGAAGCTCTAATTGGAGAAAAGGAGGTCATCCGATTTTTGGACAAATATAATACACAGAGAGATAGACCAGAATTATTTACTCCTGATTAAAAGAACTCTGATTAAAAGATTGATCACCAATCTGGTGCGGTAAAATAATAAAATGAAAATAAATTAATATTAAATTGAACTATTACAACTATGACAAGAGGTTATAGTTGTTAATAGCTATACCATAGGTACAGTATGTAAGTACATAAAAAGCTCCCCGTGAAGCTCAAAAGCCTATATAAGGCTAAAATCATGCTTCCCAGGCCATTTCCACATGAGTGACTTATAGCTTTTTCTATCATCACCTAGCCATTATTGAGGGATTATAAAGCCTAACTTCATTACACAATATATATATAGTGTACATATTGTTAAAATGATTCTAGAGCAGTGGTTCTCAACCTTCCTAATGCTGCGACCCTTTAATACAGTTCCTCATGTTGTGGTGACCCCCAACCATAAAATTATTCCTAAAACCATTGAAAATATGTGTTTTCTGATGGTCTTAGGCGACCCCTGTGAAAGGGTCATTCGACCCCCAAAGGGGTCGCAACCCACAGGTTGAGAACCACTGTTCTAGAAGATACTGTGCTGCTTAAAAACCACTTTCAACACTCACGTTCGACACATTTTTTCTGATACTAAGGATAACATATATAGGGCAGGCAATGCCATTCTGTTACCTGGAGATGACAAGATCAGCAGGTCTTGCTTTGGCAAATAGCTAATCTGACTCCACCAGGAAACGTGTATTCTACTTCACCTGAAATGGCAGATTGTTAAAAGCTGAAAGGCAACCCATAATTTAAATAATATTCCCTAGTGTTGCACGGCTACTCCTACTTCTGCAGATGCTTCATAATGCCTATGGTCAGACAAATATTGGTAAATCTGATTTCCAGATTGATAATCTGGCTCTTAGTGATTTTTTTTTCCTTAATCCCTTTCCAAAGCCATGGAAATTTATAATAAACATCACATATTTTGCTAACACTCCAAATTGTTTTAAATTACTGTGTCTCGTCCCAAATAGAGTATTTTTATGGAGGAAAACACACTTGATATCTACAAATAATGGAAAGCTATTTTATGCAATCATCTTTGTAACTGGACTACTCAACTTTTGAGGACTTACAAGTGAATGAACAAACCAATCTAGTTAAACTGTGTAATGCTGAAATGACACAAAAAAATTCTAATAACTAATTTCCTGACAATGTGACCGAGACTGCAACCAGTTATCTAAAAGAGATGTTGATTTACACTTCACTAGATGTGCTCAAGCAGAGATTGGATAGCTATCTGTTGAAAGTGTTTCAGTTCAGATTCTTGTACTGAGCATTAGGTTGGACTTGATGATCAAATGGCTCCTTCTTTATGATTCTGTGAATACTGAATGACAGAATTCTACAGAGAAAATATCTTTGAGTAGTCCTTTCTCCCCAAGAGTTCTGTAAAACTTACATTGGATTTTGTAAAAGGATAAATCCATTTGCTGCATCTTTTGTCTGAGGTCCTATTTAAACAGTCACCTTTCACAATTCATAATTCATAAGTTTTTTTCATAATTCATAAGTTTATTTGTCAAGCATATATAAGATAACAGATAACAGTATAAACATAATTTGAATACATGAAAAGAGTAAGTAAAAAGGAATATTAGGACAGGGACGGTAGGCACGCTGGTGCACTTATGTTATGTTATTATAACATAAGTTATAATAAATATATTATTATGTTATAATATAATATGTTATTATGTTATAATCATTATGCACAATGATTATAATAGACATCAGACTCTTGGAAAGTAAGTTGCCATGCAGTGAAATCCATGAGAAATAAGCCTGCAACAAATGAGCTGCTGAACTAGTGCATTTTACATTCAACTGAAAAACTTTGTTTTTGAAATGAACTTTTTTTTTTGGCTGGCCAAAATACACCAAGTTGTATCAAACTGCAAAGAGGATTGGAGAAACCTTGCGGTGGGGTCAGAAGTCATGACCTGAAATTGCAAACCAATTCAAAATGTTTATTTTAGTCTCAAAGAAAAAGGAAGGCTTCTATAGGCAGCCACAGAAATAGTAATGACATTACAAACAACTCACAGTGGGCAGAGCAGAATAAAGCAAGCAATATTATAAATGGTACAATTTAATACTCTTCCAAAATGATCCTTTCCCCCCATATTTTAAATTGTATTCACCTCAGTTTAGCCAAACTGTTCTGAAATATATTTTTATTGCATGCTCAAAGTTGGCTTACAGGGAGATGGGCAGCACATAAATTTAATACATAAAGTAAAGGTAAAGGGTTTTTGTCCAGTTGTTTACCAATTCGAGGGACGGTGTTCATCTCTTAGTCAAAGGAGCCAGTGTTGTCTGAAGACATTTCTGTGGTCATCTGGCTACCATGACTATATGCTGAGGTGCACGGAACACTGTTACCTTACTACCAAAGTGATACCTATTTATCTACTTGCATTTGCATGCTTTCAAAAATGCTAGATGGGCAGGAGCTGAGCAAGTAACAGAAGCTCATCCAGTCATTCGACACTTGGGTCTCAAACCTGGGTTGTCAGTTTTTCAGCTGACAAGCTCAGTATCTTTAACTTCTAAGCCACCATGCCCCATCAACAATGAATGAATGAATGAGATAGAATAGAACCAGGAAGACTAGGAAGATTTAGGATTAAGTGCCTATTTTAGTACTTACTTTAGGTAATTGCTGTCAGCCCAGTTTACTTTACAGAGATGATTTGGGGAAGAGACTTAAGGGAAGTCCTCTTAGCTATGTCATCTTGACCTTGTGAAAGAAAAGTAGAATATCATCATCATTATTATCATCATCATGATCTATTCTGTACAGATTTTCCTGTTACAACCTCAGGGCTACAATGCACATAATTCTGATGGGTATTCAAACTGGGAATGACAAGAATTATAATCCAGACATCTGGGATTTAGAGGTTGGTAAGAGAAGGAAGAAAGAAAGAAAGAGAGGCAACTATCCAGCTGTAAGAGCAAAGCCAAATAAATTCCTAGATATATTAAAGTTTCAAAACTAAGATCCAAAAAGTTCTGGGAGATTTGGTCTATCTGATCCTAGAAAATAAGTGGCAATGATAGTCCAGACCATATTCAGAGGAGATACTACACAAGGTTTCATCTCATTTCCCTTTAGAAATCAAAGGTTATCTATTCAAAGTATATTACAGCAGTACATTCAAAGGACAGTCAAGAGTTATTTTGGCTAACCAATCATTTGCAAGAAAGCTAAATTACTTACAATTTCTTTTTTTCCACAGAACCCAAAGATGCAATTCTATATAGACTTAGGGTAACACTATGAAGTCAATTGAACTTAAAAGGGCTTAAAAAGAGGCTCAGGTTTATGCATCTGGCTCCGACTTTCCATTAGTTTTAGTGCTGTAAATATTCATCTGAATATGTACACATTGCAAATATGATTATTGGAGCCTAATTCTAGACCTAATTTAAAAACACAGGACCATTTATTACCAATAGTGACTCCCAAGTAAAATTAGTAAGAAGCAATAGTGGGTTCCACTTACCTTTGCTACTGGTTCGGAATTGGGAGCGCACACATGTGCAAACTCGCTTCATTTGCATGCGGCATTTCTGCGCATGCACAGAGCATCCGTGATGACATCTGGGTGGGTAGGCAGAGCCTCCTGCCACCACCACTACTAGTTCGCCCAAACCGGGGCGAACCGGTAGAGACCCACCATTGGTAAGAAGTGCCAGTTGATTTAAATTCAGAAACTCTCTATTTAAATAAAATGATGAAGGACTATATTTGGAAGGCTTATTTATGACATTCATATTTATAAATTTAAATGTGTGTTTAAAATATATTAGCAAAAATATTCATAGGTGTGTATGTGTGTGTAGAGCAATGAGTTTAAAATCAACTTTTTTAAAAAGAAAAAGAAAAATAAGGCAGCCAGTCTCTGTTGTGAATTATTTTATTTATCTTTTTAATTTGTGTGATTATTGAATAGCAAATAAGACTCTAAATAACAGAATTTCACATTCCTCCCATGTCTGGTTTTTTTGGAGTGGTAAAATGGATTTCAAGCTGGAAAGGAATTCTGCATGCATTGTAATGGTTTCTATAAACAAAAGAAATACACTTCCATTCTGATCTTGCTCATATTTTCTAAAGAAAAAAGCCTGCTTTAAATGGAATTGGCCCTTTAAAATAGAATGCACTTACATCAAAAGCTTTAGCATCATAAAAGAATTCTATACCAGTAATTTATTATTAGTAATGAAACTCCTAGTCCTAGGAAAATACTAATACTTTGTTAGGAAAATTATACTATTTCTGCTGGGGAGAAAGCATAAAATGCTGGTCACATCACAAATTGCGTTTGACCTCAGGAGGGGTCATGATTTACTCTCTTTCCTATCCCAGTCTTTTAAAGGACATAGCATATTTTAGAGGATTAACTGTGTAATCTACATGACTACTGGACTTTCGGCTTCTTGAGATGATTCCATAAACTCAGGCCCCATTTGTGATTTTTAAATCCCAGTGGAAAGCAATTGGCTCTCATTTTATGGCAGAAAAAGCATTCAAAACCCCTGAAGACTTTTAGGTTGGTGTTTTATGTTTTGGACACTTTACTCCATCACTTAGAGGATGATCCTACTACTATATCAGCCATCAGATACTCTTTTAGCAGATTATTTAAAGAGAATATATGTTGTCACCTATTATTACCTATAACCTCCCAGCAGAATGTTGACCTTATGATGGGGTAAATATTGATTTTTATTTTATTTTTTTAAATTACATTCAAGCCTTCCTTCTAGGGGTAATTGTTTTTACGTCGGTATTTGATATTCATTTGATGTTCAAAGTTTTTATTATTGTAGACTTTGGGAACATTTATGTTAGTTAATGAATCTGAAACGTCATCTATACTATTTATTATATTCAGATGTTATCGATCTTTTTGTTGCTATTTTATGTTTCTAACCATTGAAGGCTGGTATGATCAGAAGCATGCAGTTTATAAATATGACAAATAAATAAAAAATAAAAAAATAAAGGTGTGATACTGTGTATGTCATCCTCAATATTATACTTAGACAAGTCTCATATATAACAAAACAGATGGACTTTCTTTTTGGTTTCCAGAATTTAAATCATACTTTTAAAAAAAAGATGATTAAGTGTATATTAACATGTTGGTAAATGTAGGTGTGGAAGCATATTTTCTTTAGGGCTGAAGTTGCTAAGTGACAATGCACACTTGTAGCAGTAGGCATTATTCTACGAAACAGGAAAAAAACCCCTGTTTTAATATGGCACTTCAAAGATGCAGTTTTATCAGATAAATTGTGTTCTCGTGTATTGTTCAAAAAACATCTGTTCTCCAATTAATTAGGGACATATTTAGAAATCTAAGTTACAGAGCTAAACATAACCCCTTTAAAAATAAATATTAGTAACACATTTTAGATTACTTTTGAGTAAAATATTGCATTGCAATGTTATTACACTAAAATGGTATGATGATAAATTACAATTGCAAGTGTAATGGTAAATTTAAAAATCAGAAAAAAATGTTATGCAGGCCAATTTTTTTTTTAAAAAAAGGTTATATCAGTCCAATCAATATACTTTTGCTCAACAATGGAAATGTAAATGGAACAGATAGTATTTCAATAGACTGTCAACAGTTTGCTACACCAACAGAATTTGAAGATCCAAGTGGCCAGTATAGTTGTAAAGCCTTCCCTGGATTGTAACATTTAAGATTGGGTAATGGGATGCCCAACTGAATGATATTCCAGAAATAATAAAAAACAACTCTTTGCAGATAAAACTAGAATGTAAGAATGAATATTTTAGTCTGTTCTTCTTTGTGGTTTTCTTTCGGGGCTGAAGATGGCATTGAAAGCCTGAAACAGCAATAAATTAGCTCAGATTAATTCCCAACAATTCACCACAGTCAGCTCGCCATGCCCAACCTGCCACAGCCAACTTGCTGCAGGACAATTTGCCATGGCCATCACGCCACAGGACACCTCGCTGTGGGACAAGAGTTACTCTAATATCAAAGAAATGGTGGAATAGGATAATTAAAAGATGCAAAAGGAGGAACACAATGAATTGTGAATGGAAAAAATTAGAATATTTATTTATTTTAAATAATTAAATTAAATTGTTAAATTGTCCCGCAATGAGTTGTCTTACAGCGAATTGGCCATAGCGAGTTTGCCCGCTGCAAGTTGCCACAGCAAGTTGGCTGTGGCAAGTTGTCCCATTCCCTCCCAATTTACTTTTCCTCAATATACTTGTGGAAATCCAGTGGTTTTGGATTGGCTTTGGTCTCAGTAGTTATTCTAGATTGGATGGATTCAATTATTGTAGCAATGGGTAATTTGTTGAAAATCTTAAGGATCAGGTTGTGAACAAATCCTCCTTGACAAAATCTATTTACATTCACTAAAATTCGGCACTATTTTATGACACCTAACCAGTCAATTATTATAGGTAGAACTGTAGTTCCCATGATGCTCGTCTTTGATTTAGGGATTCTCCTGGATTCACAGCTTCTGCTTAAGCAATAGGTGGAGTTCCTGGCTAGGGATTTTTGCACAGCTTCAGAAGGTGTGCCCATTGTGATGCTATCAGAAGATCGTGGTAATGGTAACTCACACTGACTTCAAAACGTTTACATGCCATATTGATATTTCTTCCTCTAGATATTTGTGAAGAATTTGAAGAAAACAATTAGCTAACAATTAATTATTATTAATTTGTTTATGTTTGTTATATTTATATAGTTGCCAATCTGACATTCATAGCTCTGGGTGGCTTACAACACACACGTGTGTAAACACACACACACACCAAAACACAGCAAAAATTGTTAAAACATTAAAACAATAAAATGATTTCTAAAAAATCTATGGGAGAACAGCATCCATTTCCCTAGCAATGCAACCACTGGATACCCAGGCCAGATGGCTAAGTTTTGTTTTCAGGACCTTCCAGAAGGTTCAAGCTCGGGGCCAGTCTAACTAGAGGAGAGAAGATGTTCCAAAGAGCAGGTGCTGTGGCAGAAAAGCAGCTCTTCCTTGGTCTGGTCAAATGACATTCCTTCATGTATAGCACATGCAATATGCAACATTGATCTGATAGGATGGGTTGATATGATTGGAAATTTATGATATTTCGGGATAAATCACACAGGTAGCTTTGCATATTAAAACAGGGAGAGTTGCTTTAATGTAAGCAGTTCAAGCTATGAACAAATCTCTCTCTCTCTCTCTCTCTCACACACACACACACACACACACACACACACTTTTTCTTCTCCTGTAATGTGAGGTGGCGAATAAACTATCAAATCTGCTGTTTCATAACACACTAAGCCATAATGTGGTTTGTTTGGTTTTGGCTTAGTATGATGTGGTATGTTAGGGTTATCGGTTATTGTTTTTTAATTATTATTCACTGACTGAAAGAAGGAACAATATCTTTCAATCTCTGGCACTTGGTATATCGGGCGATTTTAGTTGCAATTTCTTTTTTAATGAGTTGTTTTGCTGAGAGCTGCAGTCGTAATGGATAATAGATAGAAAAATAAGTAACTGTATATCGCATTTCTTTGCATGATTATTTATATTGAGTCCAGATAAATATATATGGATTTAGACTTAATGGAAGTAAACAGCATAAGATTGTATGGCCTGTGATTTCTGTAAGCCTTTGCAGTTTTGACAAGGCAGATTGGCAGTAGCAATTAACACAAAAAGCAGCAATTCTTAATTTAAAACTGCAAATCATGCTAATAATTTAAAGTCTCCAGTGTCTCACAGTGCTTTACAGTATGCCTGGAAAGAAACAGTGGATAAAAATATAAAAGAATTGGCATTATATGTTCCCAATGATCTACCCATCCACAGAGGAAATGCTGGGTTTCTTTTGGCTATGGATAGCAATATCGCAGTATGATCTCATTCAGCAGCTGACAAAGAGGAGAGGACAGAATCAAAGCTAATAAACCAAAAATAAGTGAAAAAAATCTGTTTCTTACACACACATAACATGATAGTCTTATACTCCAAATACATTGTAGAAGTATGGAAAAAGAAAAACACAGTTTTTTATATTCTACCCCTCTGCCTACAAATGTACATTGCTTCTCAGAGTAATGTGGCAAAAATAGAGATAATACTTTCATCTGTTTCAAACACTATTTAATTCAGAAATGACTATCAGAAAATAACTTCAGTTTTTGCTTCTAACAGCATCTCTTTATTATTGTACCATAAATATGTTTTAGATTTTAAGGCAATAATTTTATCTATTCATCCAACAAAACATTTCATTTGTGAAAATGCTATTCATAACTCAAGAGATTTCATTGCATCTTAAAAAAACAAACTATTGCTTTTTTATTGCTCTTTCCTGCCTTACTACTCAAAAATGATGTTTTTTATCAATCATCATTCTTTGTTAAATATTATTCTCCTGCTTTATGAAATATAGTTTCTCATGTCTTATATATCCTCCTCCTCTATTCTTTATTTTTTTATTCAAGCATAAAGAAATGTAATTACAGCTTTGTTATTATTCCTCTGAACTGTAAACAAGAGATCCAACTTTTTCTTTTCTTTTCCTAGCATTTTCCCACAAGTACAAAATCAACTTTTTTCTGATCAACTGAATGTTGATCCATTGGTTGCTATAGAAATTGACTTAGTGGCTTATTACCATGGAGGGATGAGAGATAATGACTGGCCCGAAGTCACCCAATCGATTTTCCTGCCTTCGGTAGGACTAGTATTCATGGTTTTCTTAACCAGTAGATCAGACTGGCCCTGAAACAGATCCAACATTAATTTATAATGATATTTGTTGACAGTTATTTACTATATTACTTAAAACATACATTTATATTTTTCTATGCTGTCACATACTATATTAGAACCTTGACTCTAACTCTGATTACTTAAAATATGTTTTAATATGGATTTCTTAATGTGCGCACACGTCTGTCTCTTTGGTTCAGGCAATTATGAAACCTTAAATGTTACAGCAGATTCCTCACTAAAAATAAACCCCTACTAGAGTAATGTCAACAAAAGCTGATAAGTACTCACTCTTTAAGAAAACAAAAATTATGATCAAGTCATAATGAACATAGGCATTAAAATGATAAACTAAAACTATGCATTAAGATATCAAAATCTGCATATAGTGTAATTGAATTTCCTATGTGCTTATATTAATAATTGTTTTAATGAATTAATCACATGCTGTACATATTTTAATTAATGAACATCAACTTTTGCTAAAATCTTTTTATCCCTCCGTAAGGACAGAAAAAAAGAATATCTGATAAACAACAGCTAGTGTCTGAATAATTCTTTCTGATCTTCTCATAAAGATTTATTATTGTTTATCTGTAATATATTATACTGAACCTTCTGCCACTGAATGCTTGAGTCAATGGGATACTATGGAAAGTTTATGTGAACATTCCTTCTGAGCAGACCACAAATCCTCATCAGAAAAGGTTCACATACTAATTGATCTAAGAAGAATGATTTGTCTATTCAGCTATTCAGGTCCAGAGAAAAGGTAAATAAACTTAAAAACAAGTGCTTAAATGAAGGAAACCATATAACTGCAAGTTGTATATGAGATCAAGGCAAAGGAAAATAGTAAAAGGTGTCTGAAAGAAAAACATGAAACAAAAAAAAAAGGTATTACCTGAATTATCTTTTCTACCTTTAAAAACTAAAGTTTGCTATATTCTAGCATGAACTGAAGTAAAGAATGCTTTCTTCAGTAAAGAAAGACACAAAGTTGAAAAATTTAGTTAAAAAAAAGCTGCTGCAATTTTTCATTTATTTAGTGCCTTCAGGAATTTCCTTTACAGTATTGTAATTTCAAAAATATAAAAACCAGATGACTTAAATTTATTTTGATTGATGCAGCCTACTGATATTCTTCCAGATGAGGGCAGCAGGCATCCACAAATCTTGTTAAGACTTGTTTTTATACATTTTATTTTTATACATATTTTTCAATAGATTTCTAAAGAAAATTGTAATATCACAATTTAATCAACTAATGATGAGAACCCTAGTCTTAACAATATTGCAAAAATGAAAAGGGAAACTATGCAAGAATCAGATGGCCCCACTCTTCCTTTTTTCCCTGAAAAACATTACAATCTGGAAAAAAATCTACTGTATCTGTGATTTGTATCCTTAAGTTTTACTTATTTATTTATAAGACTTATATGGCCATCTATTTCATATAATGATTCTAGGTAACTCACAACAGTATTCTAGGTCGCTCATATGAAACTATTCATGAGTAAAATATTTTTCTCATGAATAGTTATATATATGTATCTGTCCAAATAATGTATTTATCAGTAGGCAGACAAAATGTTTGAAAGTGTGAAGGGAATGACAGTAAAAATCATTTCACAAGTTATATTTAAAAATAGGTTTCATCATTAAATATATTCATACTAATTAATATAATTCATATAGTTCCCAGTTTTAAGAAACAGGTTTGCTATATATTTGGAAACAAACAAACAAAAAAGCATTCAGTTCAATGTAGTGCACTTTTTTTTTCTATTGTTGTGCGACTTTTTTTTCTAAATCCTATTTTGCTGATTGAATTGGTATAATTTATTTACAATCATTGAATACTTCTAGATACTGTACGTAACTTGTTGAAAATACTTTCAAATGCATGAAAGATGTGCTTCCTTTTTTACATTTCACTTTGTCATTATGCTATTGTGACAATATGTCAAGAGCACATCTTTTACACACCTACTTACAAATTAGTCCAATTGTGTTCTATGTATTTATTGTGTTTGTGATAGGCAGAAAACACATTTCTTTTAATTTTTATTCAGTTTGATAAAAGTGAATTTACTTTTGATTCTTTAAAGTATATTTTTACTTAATTTCTTATAGGAGAAATGTGGTGTTATTGACCAAACGGTATATCCAATGACATATTTTTCAGGGTACAATCAACTTTACCAAGCGGTATATGTCAATGACGTATTTTTCAGGGTACAATCAACTCTCCTGTATTCAACAAACTTCCATTAAACCATACAAATATCGTGAAATAACTTTTTTTATAGACAGCTTAAATAATTGTGTCAGAATCCTGGATTGAAGATTTGTTTTAAAAATCTGATTTAATATTAAATAAATACAAATATCAAAGAGGAAGTCTCACAAATACATCTAATTATTCATAAAGAATCAGAAATAAAGTATTTGGAAACTTGGATGATAGAAAGGTTAATAACAATTATATGTGTGACCAGTTAAGGGGCAACTTTTAACCAAATTTTTCTTATCTCAAGAGGCTGAACCCAATTTTTTCAGTATTTGGATAGAAGACCACGAGGAAATCCTGGGGCTTTAGGCTACACTGGAAAAATTTTTAAAAAGAAAAAAGAAAATCCCTTAAGAAAATAATAGGAAAACTAGTTTTGTTTTGTCATCAAGCTCAGGGACATTTCAATGTAGTCACCAAGAGTCATGCTTAATGAAAGGAAGCTTTATTTCATAAAAAAAAAAAAAGACATTGATCCAAAACAGCTAATCTTAGAATTTCAACAAAGGAAATCATCTAAAACATAGGCATTAGTTAGGTATTTATTTTAAGAATTGACCTAGGACTTTTCATGTTAATAATGTGTTTTTTTAGAACAAAAAGCAATATTAAGAAAATATTAGGTAACATTCAGTACACTCCAAAGAAAAATGTTTCACACTCCCCAATATAAAAACATTAAGATGCAATTATAATTCAAAAAACTAATTTCAATGAACTTTGTTATTAATATTGGACAAAAGCTCTTTTTCTATCTCTTCTTCAAAAGCGTGTTAGCAATATTACATTTCAAGATCACTTCACAAGTTCATTGAGTATTCTCAAGGAGCAGGACTGAACTCTTAAATATTTCTATTTAAATATTTCTATATTGTCTTTCAGTTTAAAATGTCCAAGCAACAAGTTGCAATAATTAACAACATAATATTTAAACACACGAACACATACTCCACTACAAAATCCGTGCTAAAACCAATCACAGTTTATGTAATTACCAGTTACTCAAGTATTAAACTACATTAATGTAGAATCAGCTTGCTGCCAAAACAAATACCCATCTAAATAAAATAATGGCATTAAGAATCACAATTAATTATGGCTTTCAAGCATAGCTAAAATTGTGATTAATAAAAGGACAAATCAGTTTCTAAATGTCACATTTCTAACAAGATCACTGTGTAATTTATGCCAAATAGTTAATGAATTCAAACCTGCCATTTAATTTATAGGATAAATAGGAGAAATGGCTACAGTTTGGAATTTTTTACCAGATGTGGGGTTTACAATTCTATATGCAATCTTACTTGAAATATATTTAACTGTGCTCGGTGCAAATTATTTCTGAATAATCACAAGTTCATAATGAAACTTATGTCAAATCTAAACTACATATTAGCAAGAATACTTATCAAACTTATGAGGGATACTAGAGTTTCATTTTCTGGAAAAAAGGCTATATCTGAAAATATAGTCTTAAAGGAAATAGTTAAATTCATGATCCTGGCACTGTCCAAGTTTTATAAAATATTGAAATTTAGCCCAAGTCTAAACCACTTATCCTAAGCAATTTTGGAAGACAATATACAAATGAAAGAAGAGGAATTGCAATTATTGCTGCTTCTGTAATGAAAAGAATGATGGGACCTGATATATCATTTCACTCATTTTCCATATGACAGTACCAGATCATTTGGCCAATTTAGATCTGGGAATAATGAGTACATTAACCATAGTTGCAATCGCCACTCATTCTGGACTTGCACTTACATTCAAAATGCATTTAAAAGGAGAACAGTCCTCAACTGGTAACAGCGAAGGGAAGAATTTGGATACTGAGTGGACAAGATTTTATTAAAAGATAAATTATTTCTTTAAAGAAGCAAACAAACAGTGTTTATTATCAAATGAACTTTACTTCTGATGTATAGAAATTATATCATAACAGAGTACCAAATATATACTTTACACATTATGCATAACAATAAACAGCCATACATTTTGATATTATAATGATCAATATGGCTGAAATTAAAAATATCTCTGTCCCCATTCCTATTATTCCTATTATTATATTGTCAGCACAGAAACATTTTGACCACTGTAATCACAATATTTATTGAAGGGCATGTCTTCATTCCAAATCATTCTAAATTATAACTTCTAATCAGTTCTACATTAATTTTATAAACACAGTCACTTTCTATGGCACTTACAATAACATGGATTGTACTATAAGCTTAGTCAACATCTTAGGGGACCTATGTAAGCTCTGAAATTCTAACCAGTATGGAAAATGCACCTTCTCCTCTAGTCTCGCATTGCTTGCAAGAGCTAAGTCTTGAGTGTTTTTTGCATATGCTCAGAAGCACCCTTTATACATTCCAGGATTGAACAACGGCACAAATGCCAAGTCTGTGGTGATTAAACATCAGAAAAAGGGCAAGAGTTTAGTACTTTTCAATCTATTCTGCCCTCCTATAGGCAGAAACACTTTCCCAGTCCAGACCAGAATAAAGCCCTAAGAAACAGACATATTCACCAGACTTCCTGACAGATACATGAACTTGCCTTGCTTTGGTGACTTCACCAGAAAGGCTGACAAAAAGTCACTCCTGATGTCCAGGAGCCTTTTCTCTACGAGATGCTAGGAGTTGGATTTGTGATGCCACACAAAGCAACGGCTCTGCCACTGACCTGTAACTTTTTCTCTATGACACCTTAAGTCTCACACAGGAGCCAGGCAGTTCACAACCACAACCCGGACCCCTTTCTTATGTTATATGTGGCGCAGGCCGCCCTTCCTTTCAGGGCAACACCTTCGCGTGGCCTTTGGGCGAGCAGGGCACGGCGCGCACTCGCACCATCACCTGTTCGCCAGCCACTTTCTGGCCAGGCTCTGTTTGCTTTTAACAGCTGCCGAATTCTCAGGAAAGGAACCTGATCTCGGCCTAGCGGTCGGGCAAAGAGCTGCCTACGAATGGCTGGAGATCGGCATCCGGCCGAGCGCCGCCCCTCGGGGGACGCTCGCTCCTTCTCCCGCGAGCAAGGCCGCGGCCACAGTCCGGTATCCGCGGCTGTGGAGGAGGTAAGGCATGACGGAGAGGAGGGCCAGGACGATGGCAACCACGAGGAAGAGCGACACCATGAAGAGCTCCACCCAACCACTGTAGTTGAGGAAGAGGGGCCCGGTGATAGAGACGACCATCATGGAGAAGAAGGTAAAGACGATGCACACGCAGCGCACGGTCCGCATCTCCTGCCTCCGGCTCCAGCCGGTTTCATTGCAGCCGCCGCTCGCCTCAGCAGCCTCGGGAGAAAGCGCGCCATTTCCGCCCTGCTCCGGCAGGGGGCGCTGAAACGTAGGCCGAGGCGCCCACGAGAGGGGCAGGAGCTGCAAGCGGTCCGGAGGCGGCGGCGGCGGCGGCGGTGGCGGGATGAGCTTGGTGTTCAGCGGCAGGTCGTGCACGTGTCCCTTCGGCAGGGCCGTGCGGTGCCGACACAACGCGCACGTGATGGCGTCGCCTGGGCCGCCGCGCTCCGCTGCCGCGCCCCTCCCCGCGCCTCCGCCGCCGCCGCCGCTCTGGGTTTGGTGGCGATGCATCTGCACCAGGCAGTCCAGGCAAAAGGTGTGCAGGCACGCCAGGAGCTTGGGCGCGCGGGCCTCGGCGTCAAAGGGGTTGTAGCAGATCCGGCATTCGCGCTCTTCCGCCGCTAAGGCGAGGCAGGAGGCGACGGCGCTCCGCGAGGCCGCCTCGGCGGAGTCTTCTTCGTGGCCTTCAGCCTCCTCGCCCTGCTGGCTCCTTCCCTCGTGACCGGGCGGTGGTTGCCTCGGATCTGCCATAGCCGCGTCGTTTCATCTGAAGGCTCCGCGCCGCTGCGGCGGGTGAAAGGTCGGCTGTGGGGTGCGAGTTTAGCGGAGGGTCGGAGCCGAGCCGGTGCCCCTCTCCGGAGCCCTTCTGATGCTGCGCGGTTGGGAAGTTCTGGGCATGAACCGCCGCCTGCAGTGCTGCGTGCTTCTTTTGCTGCTGTGGCCGCTGGCGGGCGGGCGGGCGGCTGGCTCCTCACCCCCTTCTGAATTGCGGCTTCTGCTCGAGGATGCCAAGAAGCATGCAACACCCAGGGACATTAGCTAAACCTCCCCAGTCTGCGGCTTCTCTGGAGTTTGGGCACGGGAATGCCCAAAATAGGAGGTCACTGGGAATTGTAGTCTTACAAATGAGAGAACAGCTGGTTAGAAAAGGCTGAGTTCATTCACACACAAACACAAAACCCTTTAGGGAAAGAGAGCTGTACTGCTTAGAATAGAACTACAGGGCTGCTAGTAATTTTACAGAGCTGGTGCGGAAGTATTTGAAAAATACTTTGTTCTGGTATTTGGTGGTTATTTCTCATAAAAAGACAATGATTGAAGGTATTTCATCAGGCATTGTTGTAAAAGCAAATATCTACTGTTTAATAAACAGGAGCCAGGTGGGCAACCGTAAGACAAGAGGTTGTGTCTGAGTTCAGGCTAAACCAGAGGGAAAATCCCCAGCATTATGACTTGAAAGTGTGTATTCAACTGCTCTCTGACTTATTTATTCTCTCAAAAGAGCCCCAAACCATAAAGGGGCATCCCTTCTCTATTCTTCACATCTCATCTGTGTTAATTTTTAAAGCATACTTCTTTGGGGAAACTTATTTTATGAATGGAAGCATTTTTTTACAATTGCATCTTTAGGTGTGCAAACAATCAGTGGAACCTACCTGGCTTCTTAGAAATCCAAATAGGAATAAAGTATATCGGAATGCCTGACAGGAAAGGAAAGGAAAGGAGAGGAGAGAGAGAGAGAGAAGAGAAGAGAAGGAAGGAAGGAAGGAAGGAAGGAAGGAAGGAAGGAAAGGAAGGAAGGAAGGAAAAAGGAAAAGGAAAGGGAAAAGGAAAGGAAAGGAAAGGAAAGGAAAGGAAAGGAAAGGATTCTTTATTGGCCAAGTGTGATTGGATACACAAGGAATTTGTCTTTGGTGCATATGCTCTCAGTGTACATAAAAAGACAAGAATCATAAGGTACAATACAGCCACAATAAAACAACATATCTCCACAAAATTTAAAAAAAAGTTTAAAACATATTAAATAATTTGGCCCTTGTATTAAAAAACTAAAAACATAGGGTACAAATAAGCAATCAAATCATACTAGGAAACAAATGGTTTAGTTCCATTCTTGCTTTCAGCTCAAATAAGCAGGTGGCTCAATGTCTATAAGAGTTGGCTAGAATGATCTTTTTTATCAGTTTTCACAAACAGGTTTCAAAATCTAAAACAAAGAATAAAATAATATATCCATTAAGATTTGTTCTAAGTTAGAATGCAACCTGCCCATGGGCCGCCAGTTTGACACCCCTGATACAAACAAAGATCCTCAACTTACAACCATAGTGGGGGCCAACCATTTTGCTTGTCAGAAGCCAGCTGGAAGGTCACAAAGTCCAATCACATGACCCCAAATGCTGCAACCATTGTAAATATATGCCAGTTGCCAAGCCCCCAAATTATAAACAGTTGATCATGGGATGCTGCAGCTGTCATAAGTGCAAGGACTGATTGTAAGTACCTTTTTTCAGTGCTGTTGTAACTTTGAGTGGTCATTAAACAAATAGTTGTAAATTGAGGACTTTCCTGTATATTATTTTGCTGAAGTCACATTTTCTCATTGTACAGCAGCTTGGATGTACGTGAAAATGCTGCGTTTAATATTATTAAAATACTTCTGCCATAGCTTTTGTCACGAAAAACTACCTTATAGAAAAAATGCATAAAATTAGATTGTTGCTTATTTAAGGTTTACGAAAGCCTCTTTTTTATCCATTCGTAAGAATTAAAGATCTCTTTGAGAGTGCTTGTATAAGCAAGAGAGCTAACTTTTGAGAAAATGAGTGCACTTATACCTTGCTATCTGCTTACTGTGATGTTTGTGGTATGAATTTAATCTTTTCTGTAAACCTCTCCCTTTAGTTGTTGGACTCCATAAATTATGTGAGATTAATACATATGGCATTCTTGCATGATATGGGAGCAGCTCTGTAGCAGACGAAAAAGCTCTACAGAGAATCATTAAAACTGTCCAGAATATCATCGGGCTCCAGCTACTAGCCCTGGACGACATCTTTGCATCTCGCTATTTGAGGAAGTTGTATAACATTTTCAGAGACTCTTACAATCTTTTTGGACTATTGCCTTCTGGCAGAAGATACAGAACAATTAAAATTCAGACCACATATTTTCTGAATAGTTTTTGTCCCAGAGCTATAATTGCACTCAACAATGAACTAAAGGGCCACCATCAGGGAGTGTTGGACAACATTACTTGGTCGTGTTGTGTGGATGCTTGGGTGGTTTTAGGGGTGGGGAATTTTTGGTGGGGGTGTGTGTGTCTGGGGATTGTCATGTGAGTTGGGTCTGGTCTCTGGGTGTTATGTGAATTTCGTTGTATGGGTATACTGTGTATACACAAACAATGACAATAAACTTTATTTTATTTATTTAATACTGGCTAGAATACAGCTGCTGAAGTTTTAATGATGATAAACAATTGATGGCTCTAGTTTTCAGTTTGTTTCTAGGCCTTAACATAAAATTCTATTTGTAAAGCAAGATACAATTTGAATACAGGAATGAATTCATACAATAATTTGAAATTTTACTCAGTATTCCTTCAATAGTACATGGATCAACATGAGATAAAGCCTCCAAAAGCAATAAAGAAATTACTGAATTCTCAAGATGACTCCAAAATCAGACTTTCTTGGTTTGTAATCTCATAGGAGGTGATAAAGATGTCCTTTACCTGAACCAGTAATATCATTCAGTTTTATTTAATTTTACAACTGGTATATTCTACCTACTAAGCCATTCTGGTAAAATGCACAAGTTACCACTGAAATATTGTGATGCCTCTGCAATATCATTTTTTATTTGTTCACCCAATTCTATATAAATTGGAGAGCAAAATATAATTCCTGATAGGATGATTTAAATGAGTTTGCATGTGTATAATATTGAATGCCAATTGACGAATTACCTTTTAATCTAGTATTTTGTGAAAATCCAGTTTGTATGATTCATTCATAGCTAAAACTCAGAAACTCAATCCCCCTAAAAAATTGGCTCATTTGAATAAATTGTAGTTAAGTTAACCATAGTGAAAAAAAATTGTAAATATACGCATAGTGTTCTTATGCAGTGAAATAATCTATGGTAAATTTTGTATTAAATTCATCTGTAATCGTGATGGCAAACCTATGGTATGCATGCCACAGATGGCACACATAGCCATATCGGGCACGCATAGCCATATTGGTGGGCACGCGAGCTCAGCTCCGGCACGCATGCGCGTTCTGGCCAGCTGATTTTTGGGCCTTCTGAGCCCACCAGAAGTAGAGAAACAGGCTGTTTCCTGCCTCCGGAGGACCTCGGGGTGATGGGGAAGGCCCGTTTTTCTCTCTCCCCAGCCTCCAGAGCCTTTCTAGAAGTCTGGGGAGGGCGAAAATGGCCTTCCCCAACTTCCTGGAGGCCGAAAATGGCATGTTTGCCAACTTCCAGTCTCCTCGGGTTAAAAAGGTTAGCCATCACTGATCTATAAGCTGCCCAGAATTGCTATGTGAGCAGGACAATCATATATATATATATAAAATTGCATGAAACTGAGTGATGCAAAATACTTAGGCAAGGAGATTCTTATTAGCTACAGTATATGATATAAAGCAGCTTATGAAGGTGAATTGCAGCTGACTTGCAAAAACCTATTTATATATACTCAGAAATACTCTTCTTTACACATTCCAGGTTTGAACAATGTCATAGCAACATTTTAAAAAATGCCAAGGCTAAATAAAGATCTATTCTCTTGGAGAGGTCACTCTTTCAATTTGTTCATCCTTGAGCAAAGACTGAAGTTGGAGCCAATAGTCCTTAAGATGAGCTGAGCAACTGCATGAGTAGGGGAAAAAGAATCTTCTTCCATTAAACAAATCTTGATATTCTTTTTTTCTAAGATATGCACAGCCTTGAATTGTCATGGATCCTGGGTCATCTGAACCCAGACAAATTAAAATGTGAACAATGTGCCTTACGATTTTGACAGGTTGAGCATGCTGTGGTCCCTTCACTTAAGCAGTGTCTTGTGGCAGGACCCAGGAGATATGCCTTCTCTATTCCCAAGCTTGCCCTTTTGAATAGCATTCCCTGAGATCTGGATAGCCTTGACCTTAACTGCCTTTTGAAAAGCTTTTAAAACTTGGCTTTCCCCCAGCACTACGTTGATAGGTTTTGTGCCTATTGAATATTTTGACTGCATGGCAGAATGAAATTACCTTGCAGGTCATACTCTTTTTATTGCTTATATTTGTTTGGCTGTTACGTGTTCTTTTTATTTGACCTCACCATTGAGTCATTTATTGATTGGACAGATATATAATTTAATAAATATAAATAAATAAATTAACTAGTCAACCACAATGTGTAATCACAGGCTTGTAGGTTAATTAATCCTAATTATGATTAGATATGTCATACAGACTATCAACGGTTAAGCTGCCACTACTCCACTAGGAAAATAAGGTAGGGAGAAGCAGCAACTACTAAAACAAATTGTTCTTCTAACAATATCTCTACTATTATCAGCATAATTTGAACAAGTTTGGATCTTTTTTAAAAAAATAAATAGAATAAAAGAAGTATCAGTCTTCTCTCACATGATGGCAAAATACTTACTGGGCAGTCATTCCAGGAAGCAGGAAGTGAGAGGTGTTATGGTTGAAGATGATTAGTGGGCCCTAATGCTGGCTTTTTTAAACTTATATTTATAGCACAGAATGTTTTTGTCACCATTTGTTGTATCTGTCCTACTTCTGATTGTGATTTAGCACAAATTTTAATGATTGTTACTGCTATTTCTACTACAATTACTATAATAGTATTTTATGTAATCTTGCAATGTTTAAGATTTTATTAATTACAGATTCATGCATTTTATTGTTGTACTTTCTGGCTCGTAAGCCATAATAAACATTTTGATTTGATTTGGCTGAAAGTGATTGCTATATAACTTGACTAATAGTTGTCAGTTGAGTCCTTTTAACCCCAGTTTTTTTAATGTCTTGTGTGCACGTTGAGTCAGGA